TATAAATAAAAATTTTATAAATGAAGAAGGATCCGTTTACAAACTTTTACTGAGTATGATCAATCATACATTTTTTGTTGAAATATGACCGGTCAGAATAGTGTAGTTTGTAAATAAAAAGTTTGTAAATATAACATTTATTTTTATAAATATAATATTTTCCTAGTTTGTTTCTCTTGTAACCACATCTAGCTCCTCCAAAAAATCGCAAATACGATTGTTACGTAATATATCTTAACAGGATGAAAGGATAAAGATAAGGAGATAAAATTCTTGTTCCCATAAATAAGAGGTTAGATCTTATATTAACTGAGATCTATACAGTCCAAATCCAAGAGGTACCTTTATAAATAAAAGCTAAAAATTTCAGGTACACACTTTTGACCTATTTATTATTACTGCTAATACTGTGTCTACACTCAAATCTTGACTATAAGCCTATTGTTTGTGCACAATAATTAGAATATTGGCTATAAGCCAATAAGAATATCCATCTTTAAGATATCCATACCATATAATATCATATAGAATAGAACTTCAGTTCTCTAGGACCAAACAATGACAAATATGAGCACGAGATCATTTTTGGTAATAGCATGCAATGGTGACGACATTGTGTTTGTTATTTGAGAGAGATGTGAAAATGTCATTACGCTGAGTACGGTACTTGCCAACCATGGATGTGGATGGACAATTGTATTTGCATTGAGATTTGAGAGATGTGTGTTCTTAGTTTGTGTGTGTGTTTTTTTTTAATGTAATAGTATTAGTGACTTTTAAGTTTTTATTAATTGATCATTCACAAATAATTAATCAATGATTACTAATTCACGTGTTAAAATAATGGAAATGAATTGATTTTCACCAATTAAATAAAAAAATTAATTCAATCCAATTAAAATATATACTATTTTTTTTATTTTCAATTTTTTATTAATTTGATTATCAATTTTCAACTCTGTCATTGCAGTTCTTCCCTCAATATTCTCTAATATTTAGGGAGCAAATTGCTAATAAAAGGAATTTTTTACCCAAAAGGTTTAAATTCTCGAGAAAGAATCCGAACCTAGAGCTATGACATTCAGGGGCATTTGGTAGAAGAGAAATTCTTTGGTGTCTGAGAATTATGATTTCCAAGAATATGATGAGAAAATGGATTACCCGAAAATGTTATTAGAAAGTTGTTTGGTATGCAAAAATATTACCGGAATTATTTGGTTAAGTTTAATAAGTCTGTGTTTAGTTAATCGAGAAATATTATTGGAAATGTTGGGTTATTTTACAAAACTATCCTTGCCTTTTAAATTTACTATTGATCATCATTTTCATTCCACCAACAAAATTCTATAGATCCAGAAAACAAAATCGATCCACAAAACATAATCAACATTCAACAAAAAAACAAATCCGGACGAAGAATCCATTATTGATGCTTTCTTTTTTCTTTTTGGTTTTTCAGCAAAAAACAACTAGATGGAGGAAATGGAGCAAAAAACAATGTCTGAAAATGGAACAAAAACCATAAAAAAAAAATTGTCCCTGTTGTTGGCTTCCGATTGCAACTGATAAACTTGTAAAAACCATATAAAAATTTAGATCTCCCTTGTTTATGTTCATGTTCATGTCGGGTCTTTGGTACATGTGGGAGAGAACAAGAGAGGGGCTAACAGTGGGCTTAGTGTGAACTCTGGAACAACGTTCGCCATGTTTGCAAGCTCCGTTATTGTCTATCACTTTCGATTCTCTGTCATCCGTATTTAATACTCTAGCTTAGGGAACATTGTCAAGGGTAATATTGTCCCAAAATTTTTGTGTAGTTTTTCCATCATCCGATATTTCAAAAATACCACCTCTTTCGTGGTATTTTTGAAAGGGAGCTTTTCACAAAAATTGTACATAGACACAAATTCTGGGCAAGTTAGATATCCAGGAAATTTTTGACAAAACCTCTATCAAACATGGCTAAATACAAATACCACGATCACTTTCCTGACATTCTCAAACAAATACTCCCACCAAACAGGCTCTCAGGGGGCGTTTGATACAAGAGAAAAAAAAAATTTATCCAGGAAACAATTATTACTGAAATGTGGTGAGAAATATATTTTACTGGAATGTTAATAAAAAGCTGTTTGGTAGACTCTTGTTTTCCCGGAAAAATTAAAATAATTTTACTGAGTCTGTGTTTGGTTTGTTATGAAATATTAATGGGAACGTGGGGTTAAAATAACTCCACCTTTACCCTTTGATTCAAATATTCTAATAACGAACGTTGCTGAAGACAATCTGAGATGGGTTTCAAACATAGCTGATTCATTGACGTCTACATCCCGCAACTAGTGAAGCAGTTCACATCTGTGTCGTCAGACTTGGAAGGAGGGGTATTTCAGAGGGTGCGTTTGTGAAGACGTTGTTGTGGTCTTCGTCGACAGAGAAGAAAACCTTCCACAAGCAAGGATTCAGGTGTAGTCCTCTGTCCCACTTGTTGCATTCTTTGTTTCTGTTCCTTAGGTGCTTCGATTAACGTCCTATTGTTCTCGAATCTTTGAGGGGGACATGCGCGAACAAAAAACTTTTTTGTTTTTAATCGTTCCATTTTGGTTGTTGGAGGGTTGTGAGAGGATTTTACTACGTGGCCTTAACTAGCTGAAGGTAGCATATCACACTTGGAATTACATGCTCCGTCTCTGAGTGACACGAAATTTAAGTATTTGAGAACATACTTTGAAGTTTAAATCATGATAGAGGAACACAATGTTCAAGCATGATCATGTAATTAATTATTTTATTGGAAGATGATGAAAATAAGTTCAATTGGTGTTGTTTATGCAGCGTTCTTATAGTTGTCATGTTATGGTTGGTTGTGATTAATCAGCCTCTTTGATATTGCTTCTGCTGAAACTGACTTTAACATATTGAACTTGAACCAGGTGACTCCTAAATATGGGTTTGAAGTATTTGCTGGTTGTCATTTATGTATGGGCTCGGATTGGATGCTTAGCTTGTACTACTTCTCATGATGGGTTAATGAGGGTTAGTCTAAAAAGGAAGAATTTGGACATTAACAGTGTTAATTGTGCATAAACTCAATGAGGCTGCTCATCCCAAATATATAGGGACTGCTGATAAGAATCATTTAATGGTAGGTGTAGTATATGTAAAGAATTACATGTTACCTGTAATGTGATTAGTGTTTGTGTCCGTGTGTGCATTTATTTGTGTTTTTTTGCATTTCAATTCCTCAATTCAATGTTCCCATTTAATGTGAGTTATTCTGTATGATTTCATTTGGTTTTGCTCAATTGCTTAGCTTTTCTCATCAGAGCTAGACTTCATCCTCTTCATTTGGAAGGTAAGAAAATGGTTGCACAAACATGCTTTGCCTTGCTTTCTTATCCTTAGCTTCAGGTTATATATGATGACAATTCTACATGCATTTTATATATATGACTCTTTCCCTAACTATATATAACCTCCAGTGATACACCTTTTTTAAATTTTAAAATAAAACCTAACTATATAAAACCTCTTCATGTGAATACTTGATTTTTTAAATTTTGAAGGCAATGGAAATATTCTCGTGTGATACTTTAATAATATTATTTTCTGTTTTAATTTTGTACTACTTATTCCTAATTTGGAGGGGAATAATATTAGTAATCGATGCAACATACCCTTTTCCATGATTTACATTAAAACTTGTTTCATCAAAGGGAAATAAATTACCATATCTGCACTCTTAATTTTATATCCAAAAAATACTTTCTTTACTTTGATAGTACCGCTACATTTTTTAAAAAATATTTCGTCATATCATACATGTATAGGACAGACTGTGCTTTCAATAGTCAGGATGAATGTCATTATCTTGAACCAACTTTACTACACATCAATGGCTACTTCTTTCATTCAGTATAGTTGTTCTGTTCCTATGGGCATCTTCAATGTGCTTTTGTTTTTCCTGTAAAGAATTTTACTATTGACTGAATTTTATAATCTGGACAGGTGGAGAGATGAATACTGAAGTTGAATGGATTATTTCTTCAATTTCAGTCCACTTTTAGACTGATGATGCATATGTGAAGACTAGATGTCATTAATTATTATGATTACTTGCTGTATAATTGGTAGTTACCTTACTGGCTCAATTACCATACTGGCTCATCGTGTCATATAATATCTCCATGAAGTTCCCTCTCGTTCAAGTGTGAACCCAAACAGTAGCAGCTGACACAACAGTTACACCATATTGGATCCTTCACTACTTCCATTCACAAGTGAGCAATTACGTGACAGAAGCTTGGGAAGTTTGGTTCATACAGGTAATCTCAGAAGTTGAACCCCTCCATCTTGTCATTTTTTGATATGATGAAGGACCAGAGAGGAATGCATCAGTTGCTGAGTATATATTGAAGAGCTCCTATTGTATGGAATCACCTCAGACTGAAACACTTACATGTATGCAAGGACCACATACTGTAGTATATGTATTTAACACCTGTTATGAATGTACTGGCAATGTAGTTGCCACATACTGTAGTTTGTTTTATAACGACAAAAGTAACAGCCTTACAAAGGCTTTTAGTTTGTATTTTTTGTAATTTAATATACAATCACAATTTGTATACTTGATATGGATACCATTTTGTGTCATCCAAATATTGGATTGCAGTTCTATTTTACCTTAACTTCCCCATATGTAGAGAATGAAGTATATTAGACTCTTTAACTCGTGAATCATGTCACCTAGCATTTGTGAGAAGAGTAACCTCACAGACAGTCTTTGCGTTGTATACCATTAAGAGCCCGTTTGGATGAGCTTTTGAAAATAAGGACTTTTTATGAAGTACTTTTCTTAAAAGAACTTTTTTTGAAAGTCAATATTATTTTACGTTTGGATGTAATATTTGAAAAGTACTTTTAAGTATAAATGTCATTTGGATGTTAAAACATAGAAGCACTTCTTAATTACAAAATGACTATCCTACCCTTCACTCCATTTCAATGGCATCCTCCTCTCCTCAAGTGACCGACTCTGACGCCGAGAAGAGTTCCTCTGCAACGCCATCGAAGAGCTTCAGCGTCGTGCTGCTGCTCACGTCCACCACCACCACCTCGACTCCCTTCCCTGCAATCACGGCCCTGACAAGTCCGGCGTCGCCCATGCCATTGGTTTATTATTTCGCTGAATTCGTTCATTCTTTCGCTGAATTGTCTCTCTCCTTTCCCGAATTCATTCTTGTTTGTGAAATCATTTGGTACGCTCTCTTCGTCTCACATTCATGTCCTCTTAATTGTTCAATCATTCCATTGTTTCATATTAATTTGGGACTAATTAATTTCTTGTCTCTGATTTGGGAAAAAGCTCATCCAAACCTGGGGTCTGTCTCTACCTTCTTTCTTCTTGGGCTTCTTCATACTCATAAGTAAGTTGCTCCTTCTTCACCTTTTTCTTCTCATGTCTTCTTCCACTGTATATGCTAGTCAATCTACAAGTTGTCCTTTCTCATTTCTATGTACATAGAAAATGAAAATAAAAAGGGTAGATATCCTTTTCAAAGAGTGGTTCACATCCTTTAAAACTCAAATCAATATGTCCTACATTTGTACCATAAGAGAATAAGCAAGATTGCAATGGTGTTAAATATCTTATAAGAATAGACTTGTTAGTTCTGATATAATGCTAAAAAATTAGGTTGATATTCATCTGATGCTAATTGTTTTGAAATGTTAGGAGTTTTATTGTATTGTGTTGAAGAGGCTTATGCTGAGTTCAACTATTTTGGATGTTTGAATGGAAATTAGTGTGATAATGATGATTTGAATGGAAATTAGCTAGAGGTTTGAATGTTTATCTTGATATTGATTCAGGGACTAGCATATGTGGACTTTTTGGATAATGAGAGAACCTTCCTGCAGCAGTAGCTAAGAACATGCACTGGTTACTTGGGAAGAAGTTGAGCATTGCACGGTCTGAACCAAAGCAAGGTGGGAAGGAATCTTCTAATCTAAAAACCTTGAAAGAACATGGTAAGAAAGTGAACTTTGAATATTTTTTACTTTGGCCTGGTGCATACATGAATGTGCATGCGATCCTCCCTGGTTGTGACCTTAATACATGCACAACATTTTGTATAGTGTGAACACCCTATTTTGATAGGTGCATTTAAAAATAAAACCAATAAAAAAAATAATTCAGAAAAAAGAGGGTGATACAAATCTTCCTACCGGTGGTTGTTACTCAAAATCGATGGAGCCAACAAACAAACAAGGAGAAGGCTCATCTATTAATAGTTGTTTAGTTGTTTGAATTAAGCATTGTTGAGCCCACATTGTAACAGTTCATTTAGGCTTTTTAAATTGTATTATTAATATACTAACATAATTAGTAGTACTTTAAACCTGTCTTGATATATATTTTATGCATTCTGTCTCTTTAATTGATCCTATTTGTTTAAATACTTCACAATGGAATTTGGAAAACCTTGTATTTGTTATGAAAAGTAACACCATGAATGACTTTGCTCAAATATTTGCTGCTCAAAATGCCTTTAGTAGGACCTCAAGTATTGAGCACAAGGTTTAACAGATTCAACAAATTCAGTTCATAATCAGCTGGTGGTGGGCAGAGATCAAAAGGAAGGTGGTTGTGAAGGGAGTAAAGTGGAAGAAACCATAGCTGCATGCAAGGTAGCTGATCTACTTCCTTTAATTGTTGAGAAAGTTAATCATGTTGCTAGATTTTTAAATGATTTTTTTGGTGAGTAGCTTTTCTCACGTTGGAATCTTTTTAATAGATTTTGTTCCACTGCACAGGGGCAAGGTAGTAACACAAGAGTGCATCCTTGAATCCACTTGAAGTATATTGTAGTTTTGCTTTAATTCATTGAGGCCTCCTCTTGCCTTTTGAATTTTCTTATTGATCTCATTCATTCCAATTATAAGAAGTTGATTTCATGAAGACCTTCGGTTGAAAACAGAATGTATCATGAGCAGTGCTAAACTGGAAAAGATACTTGCGCAAATTATGTTATTTATGTGTATCATTCGCGTCATTTAAAAATCATTCCAATGGAACCATGGTGTTAGGATTGTTCAAGAAAATATATATATATATATAAAAAAATAGAAGGTAATTCTCAAAATTGTTACAGGGATTGAAATGGCAGAGAGGCTCTGCACCATGGGGATTGCAATTAACCTGGTGACATATTTGATGGGAATAATGGACCCTACCAAGCTCAACTTTAGCCAATATTTGATTTTAAGCCTTTAACCTTATATTATTTCTCATAAATTCTTTTCATTAATATACAGGTCGAAGTTTTTGTGAGCAAAGCCAAGCATTATGAATAATGGGACAGCACCACACCATTCTCTAGTAGGACAGCAACTCCAACATATGGCATAGCTCAAGTTCATCTGCTACATAGACACCCTGCTGGTCACAATGATAGCTTACAAAATTCTCCAAGATCATTAAACTATGAAAATGAACAATGGGATGTTGAAGGTTCACCCCTAGCAACCATAAAGGAACAGATGAGACCCATATGAAAGTTTTGGAGCCAAGTTCAGCAACAGAATTGCCTATTAGCTCTCAATATGAAATCAGCATTAGTTTATTAGAATTTTCTTTTGAGTAGAGACTTGATGTGTGGTTAATGTTGCTACCAAGTTGAAATGAGATCTTATAAAGCTTTATGTAAAATCTCAGCTGTTGAGTTTGCTTTTTCTTTTATGTAAAAGACATCTTATGAGGAAATAAGAACAGATCCTATTATTTCTTGTTTTAGCATAATCATGTCCTGAAAGTACTGATGAAAAGTAATATCAGTTATATTACAATCAAAAAATTATATTACAATCAAAAAAATTAATAACCAGTGGTGCTATTATAATCAAAAAAATAATATCCACTGGTGCTATTACAATCAAAAAAGACATGACCACCGGTGCTATTACAATCAAAAAAAGACATAACCAGTGGCGCTATTACAATCATCTTCTCCAATTAATAACCATTGGTGCTATTACAATCAAAAAAATTAACTGAGATATAAAAGTTATCAATGCACTCGCGCTAACAACTGATTTCTAATATCATCTCTTGTTTGTTCTATTGATCTAATTGTCTCTGTACTTGGTCCTTCCCATTCATTTTCTCCAAGATCATCTTCATTGACTTCAAAATCATCAATATTCTCAAATACTGTAAGTAAATCTATGTCACATGAATCATTTCTCCGAATATAATTATGGAGAGTAAAGGCTGACCATATGATAGCAAATTGAGTTTTGAGCTCATAGTTGGTCATGTTCTGTAACATCCTCCACCTTGCTTTGCAAACTCCAAAAGTTCTTTCAATAATACTCCTCAAACTTGAATGATAATAATTGAAGGCTTCATTTTGTGATCTAAAAGTCGGGGCCAACCTGAAATGAGGAAGATGATATCTTGTGTTTCTATCAACATCAACATCAACATCAACATCAACAACACCTTTATCCCAAATTAATTGGGGTCGGTGGTAGATGAACCCACATGAAAGATACAAAACGGTTGAAAAAAAGTAACAAAAAAAATAAAAAATAAAAAATAAAAAATAAATAAATTAATAAATTAATAAATAAATAAAAATACACAAATAAAATAATAAAATAAAATAAAATGAAATAAAAATATATGTATATATAAATAAATAAAAGTAAAAAAGAAAGGGACAAGAAGAAGTGGGGGAAATGAAGGGGAAAAGGACTAAAAAAGGACCATCTGGAACATAGGAATAACAGCGGGTCTAACCCTCCACCATACTTATAGCTTTTCTCCATTCCTTTCTAAGACATATTGTCCGCCAATCTATATCCCACTCCATTAAATCTTGTTTTACTACTTTTCCCCAAGTAAGCTTCGGCCTACCTTTGCCTCTTTTTGTGTTTAGCTCTTGGTAACAAACTTCTGTTCTTACAGGAGCATCCATGGGTCTTCTCATCACGTGCCCAAACCACTTCAATCTATGTTCTCTCATCTTCTCGGCTACCGGTACTACTCCGACCTTTCGTCGAATATCTTCATTTCTTATCTTATCCATCCTTGTGTACCCACACATCCACCTTAACATCCTCATCTCTGCTACTCCCATCTTATGCTCATGTTGCCTATGTGCTGGCCAGCATTCCGCTCCATATAGCATTGTCGGTCGTACTGCCGTTTTATAGAATTTTCCTTTTAACTTCAGGGGAATTTTGCGGTCACACAAAAATGCAGATGCACTACGCCATTTCATCCACCCTGCTCTGATTCTGTGATTTACATCCTCATCAATCTCTCCACAATTTTGTAAAATGGAGCCCAAGTATTTAAAAGCATTTTTTTTGGGTACCTCTTGACCATTTAGATGCACAGGTTCTTGGTCCTCATCTTGTACCAGAGAAAACTCACACTTCAGATACTCAGTCTTGCTTCGACTTAATGTGAATCCTCTGGATTCCAATGTGCTTCTCCACAATTCAAGTTTTCTATTAACACCCTCCTTGCTCTCATCAATAAGCACAATATCGTCTGCAAAAAGCATACACCATGGCACTTCCTCTTGAATATCTTTTGTTAGTTCATCCATAACTAAGGCAAATAGATAAGGACTTAGAGCCGACCCTTGGTGTACACCTACCGTGATAGGAAAATAACTTGATGATCCGTTACAAGCTTTTACACATGTAGTAGCCCCATCATACATATCCTTGATTGCCTTTACATACTTTAATGGAACATTTTTCTTCTCCAGGACCCACCATAAAACTTTCCTTGGAACCCTATCGTATGCTTTCTCAAGGTCTATGAACACCATATGCAAGTCCTTCTTCTTTTCTCGGTATCTTTCCATTAGTTGTCGCATCAAGAAAATGGCTTCCATGGTACATCTTCCTGGCATAAATCCAAATTGATTTACAGAAACCTTGGTATCTCTCCTCAAGCGATGTTCAATAACCCTCTCCCACAGCTTCATAGTATGACTCATTAGCTTAATGCCTCTATAGTTTGAACAATTCTGTATATCTCCCTTGTTTTTGTAGATAGGCACGATCATATTTTTCCTCCATACATCAGGCATCTTATTCGTCTGGAGAATCTTATTAAAAAGATTGGTCAACCATTTTATTGCCACATCCCCCAGGCCTCTCCACACTTCAATAGGGACACCATCAGGCCCCAAGGCTTTATTAGTCTTCATCCTCTTTAAAGCCTCCTTAACTTCATGTGTATTAATTCTGCGTACAAATCTTCTATTCATATCATCATACGCGTCCTCTAAGTCCACCTCGCTTGTATTTCCATCCCCATTAAACAGCTTGTTGAAGTATTTCAACCATCTTTCACTTACATCTTCATCTCTCACCAGAAGTTTTTGATTTTCATCCTTAATGCATCTAACTTGAGTGAGGTCTTTACTTTTCTTATCCCTATATCTTGTGTTTCTATATGGTCCCAAAAATCCTTTGAAACTTGGATATCCAGAGTCAACAAGGTAATATTTACCTGTAATAAAATAGTTATATTTGGAACAACTATATAATGAACATCTACATTAACATTAAATAAACATATAAAATAAATACCTTCTGGAGGATGAGGAAAATGTAAATGCGGCTTTCTAAGAGTGTCCATAAAAATTTTGGTATCATGCGCAGACCCTTCCCAACCTACCAATGCAAATGTAAAACACATATTCAAGTCACAAACAGCAAGAACATTCGAGGTAGTTATTCCCTTTCTGCCAGTGAAAGGAATTTTTTTGTCAGGAGGAACATGAATAGCAATATGAGTGCCATCTATAGCTCCTATACAATCCTTAAAATATGGCCAGTAACGTTCATCTTTTTTGATATATTCTGCAGCATCCCTAAACATATTGTCAGCAGGCTTAATGAATTGAAGTCCCAAACTTTGAACGGATTTTAACACACGATGAAATTGCCTCCACACTGTCTCCCCGGAACGTTGGAATCTCTCTTCAACTTCTCTGTAAGTGGATCCATGACCAATCATGTACAAAAACATAGCCACAACTTCCTCTACACCAACATGTTGTGTTGCCTTTAATCCATGATGTTTAACCAAGTCACTCACCAAATTATTAAACACATGCTTTCTCATCCTAAACTGTTCAAAAAATCTATTTTCATTCCCTCTTTTCAACTCTTCCAACCATCCATGTCCAGAAAGTATTGATGTTCTCTTTTTTTGTTTATCCACATATAGAGAATAGTAATGATAGATAGAGATAACAACAACTTTAGTTGCTGACATTAGCATATTCTTCTTCTGTAATAATGCTCTGTTAGCATCTTCATCGTACTCAGACAACTCATTATCACTATCAGAATCTGATGTACTAGACATCCTGTTCAAACCAATATAAATATAGTTGAAAAAAAATTCTAACATCACATAAAAATAAAATAATATAAATTCGATAATTCTAATACAAACTAGAAATGTACAGGTTCAATATGAAATACAAAACCAAGTACAAGTTCAACATCATATATAAATTCAAGTTCTAAGTGCAACATCAAAGATTAAACAAAGTTACAAATTTATCGAAAATTTTTTACATGTTCAGGCGTAAACATGCTTAGAAATTTCAAAGCCTTATGAGGCTCATTTTCCATGTAATAGATAAATGCCTCTCTATTCTGTTTTGCAATAAAGATTAGAGGGGCCATGTTGTCTGTCGGGCCGCCTGCCACTAAACCAGGCACATCTTTCAATAGATTAAGGCATCTTTCAACATCATATATATAAATTCAAGTTCTAAGTGCAACATCAAAGATAAAACAAAGTTACAAATTTATCGAAAAAATTTTACATGTTCAGGTGTAAACATGCTTAGAAATTTCAAAGCCTTATCAGGCTCATTTTCCATGTAATAGATAAATGCCTCTCTGTTCTGTTTTGCAATAAAGATTAGAGGGGCCATGTTGTCTGTCGGGCTGCCTGCCACTAAACCAGGCACATCTTTCAATAGACTAAGGCATCTACCAATTCTGAATGGGTCATTTGAACTTGATCTTGGCTCGGATGTATGTGAGATTTGGTCAATATTTTCCAGGATTCGATCAAGGGAGTTTTGCAATTTTTCAGCTATTCCTTGCCTTTTTCCTCCTTTCATCCCTCTCTTCCTTTTTTTTGAATCATTGATACGAAGACTTGGGCCTTCATTATGATCTGTAGCATGTTCAGAAGTATCCCTTTCACCCTCCTCTTCATTCCACCAACAATGCTCATTTTCATCAAATAACTCATTATCAGTGGCTTGCACTGGTGATGAAGTATGTGGTTGCGGCATAAATACAGCATATCCAGTAGCAACCACATCTTTGAAGCATTGTTCCATCAAAGTCAAGAACTTTGGTCCCTGTTCCTTCCAATTCAAATATTTTGGATTTTCCTGCATTAAAAAAGAACATTAAATCAATAAGCAAATTATACAGCAATGAAGATGTAAGACTTCATATTTTATTCAACTAAAAATATATACCTTGCCCTTAGCTTCCCACCACTCTGCAGATGCCACTACAGTGTTCTTCACTGGATCCCATCCGAGACCTGTCTCTTTTTCAACCAACTTTGCCCACAGGCCGAATTCTTGTTTCAATGAATCCCATTTATTTTTTAATTGTTTCTTGTCATAGTTCTTTCCAGTCCTGCTATTAAACTTGTTCATTAAGTTGTTCCACCCATCTTTATTAAAATGAGTGTGAGGCCTATTACCAGCTTCAATGTCCTCCGCACATATTTTTAAGAAAGTTTCAGTGTTAGTATCAGTCCACTTAGCCTTCCCATGATTGTCACTAACATTCTCTAATTGAGCTAGCTTTGATGCCATTCTAAGAATAGAGATATTAAACTCCCTTAATGACTATTAAGGGGAAAAGTTAAAGACACGAGAAGGAAAACCAAAGAAAGAAAAAGAAACTTGAGATTAGCACATAACAACAATCAGTTCACGTGTCAATGACAGTCTACGCACTGCACTTTTTCATTCTTATTTCTTTGCAACAATCACTTTCTTCCTAGTTCAAATGACAGTATAAAATGTGTTTTTTGTAACTTAGAAATAAGCACAAACATAGATTTAAGTTACAAAATAGACCTGTTGCTAACAATAGTATTGTAACCCAATAATGTAAAACTTAAGTGAGCCAATTATTACATCAGACCCATTTGTGTTGGGATTTGATAAGGATTGACAAAATTAATAATGTAAATCTCTATGCATATTAGTTCACGTGTCAAGGCCAAGCTAATCAGTTAACTACCTAAAATTGACTTGATAAGCTTTGTTGTGCTCTTCACAAAAAAAGGAAAAATAATTTAAAACATGAACCCAAAAAAGAAAAGCTTGACCCTATCCCAAAAAAGAAAAGCTTGTCCCCATAAATTACAAGTTAATTTTTTATTTATGTATACAGATATCTAACATGAAATTTCTACCTTGATTTTGCTCTAGGCCTATAAGGTTTGTTTTTTGAGATATACGGACATTTTTGGAGAACTTTCTTGGATGACGGAATCAACCCCAGACAAAACCACAAAAGGAAAACAAAAACATGATTTTACTCACTCTGTTTCAATGATATCGTCCTCTTCTCCGCTCCCTCCTCTTCTTTACAATATGCCAATCTTTTCATGATAAATATTGGTTTCATCATTTTGGCCGGTTCAGCTTTGAAGGTAAGTTTAATTTAAGAACCGGTTGTATTCTTCCCCTTTATGAAATCACCAATGTTGTAGTATTCATATTGTTTGTTTAAGATAATCCTTGGTTTTTTTATTGTTCTCCATCGTAAACAAAAGCTAGCCTCATTTTCTTGTAAACAGGAAAGATAATGTAAACAGTACTTAGGCAAAAGAAAGAGAGTAAAAAGATAGAAATAGTACCTCAAAGTAGAGATGGAACTTGAAGATGGAAGATGGCAGGAAGGAAATGACACGGGAACTTGAAGATGGAAGATGGCAGGAAGGAAATGACGCGGGAGCTGAGGGGTAATCTCTGTCCACGAGGGCTCTGGCACTTGCTTCTGGCTTCTACTTTTCCAAGAAGTCAAAAATTTTAGCTTTTGAAAAAAGTTAAATTTTAACTTTTCCATTAACTTCTGCTTTTTTTAAAGTTACCATCCAAACACTGTTATAATTTTAAAAGGACTTTTTTTTTAAAAAAAAACAACTTCTAGATGTGAAGAAGCCCATCCAAACGAAGACTAAATAAGAGAATCCAAATGACTGCAGTAATAATTATCATTTACATTGATGCAACAGAAGTTCTAATAACATATGCCTGAACTGGTACAAAAAAAAAAAAAAAACAGATGCAACTTCAGCTAATCCTATGTGGGTCCCAATCACTTCACTAAGTCGGGACATATACATATATACAAAATCTGATTTCATCTGTACAAAACCAAAATATAGTCAAATAGGATCACATATGCATGTCCTCAGCTATCTGACAGGTCATCAACTTTCTAACTTCAATCATAAGTCAGCCTCATCCTGAATGCAACAGGTACTCGAAGTTGAAAGAGATCATCATACAGGGCACCTGTTCAGCTTCACAAAACACAAAAGGCCTTTTGCAAAAAATTACAAATCAGTATAACTACATATCAGCTTCCCTAAAAGTGGATTGTGTACAAAAATAAATGTCTGTTTAATACACACCTGGTTAGTATTTATTGTACCAGTTATCCTTACGTATGAGATGTGAATCAATGTGCATATCCAAAAAACCATTTGCATGATGCGTCTGTCCTTAAATTCTGGGTTCAAAAGAAGCATATTGTGGCAGACTTCAAAAAAAAGAACATGTTGCTAATAGATGCATATCACAGACATCAAAATGTAAATCACATGTAAAGTTGACAACACCTCCCATATAACCATGTGGTCTCCAAAAAGAATAGTCCTCACTGACTTAACATTTACTCAATAAAGATGCCACCACAAACTATTTTTCTTCGTCATCTCCTTCCAAAAAAATTTCCATTATCGTGGCATCCTTGCCCATTATCATTGCAAGGTTTACCCTCTATTCAACAGTTAGTACTTCAAATTTCTTCAATTCTTGGACAACAAATGTTTTTTTGCTACTTCCCTCAGCTTGATGTTCAAAGATGCACGGATGCAATATGACACAAGTTAACTACGAATAGGGAACACATTTTTACAGCCACTATATAAAATACCACACTCAGCGAATTGGTTATAATTAGACTTATTGGCTTACTATTGATACCACGGTAAAATATTATCCATATAGCATCTATCCTAGTTATTTGATTGACTCATACTACTTAAAGAGCTGTTTTCCTACTGTTGCAATCTAAAATTTGGAGGTAACATTCATTTAAAGGCTGTTCCTCCGTTGTATTTGAGAAAAAAAAAATGTTCTTTGACTGAAGCTGCTAAATTTTTTAATTTTTTTGCTATTATATTTGTAACTCAAAGGGTAATTCTATGATTTAAATAATTTCTCAGCCTATTTTGAAGTGTGCTTTTCATGGTGAATGGTTCAGTATATGACATTTCCAGCATAGTACACTCTAATTTTTTTCCATAATGAGTCGAAGTTCGGGTCGGTCTATGATGAGCACATTGTGGTAAGCTTCAGATGAACACAGAGTATAAAAAAACTCAAATATCCAAACACAATTTTTTGATAAACCACAACCCAAATATGGAGTTTTCAACTCATTACCACAGGATTACAGAAGTCAGCAAAATAGGAAGTGAAATTTTGTACCTGATTCTCACTTGCGTCTCGATTATAGAAATAAACCAAACACTTCTCAGCTTGCAGCACTCCTACTTCTGCATATGAAACCCAAATCACTTTCACACCAATAAAACTCCAATATAAGTCACAACCCGGAATGCTCAGTAGGCTCGCACTGCAATTTTTCAGTGTAATATGGTTTTTAAAAGTTTGTAATATGGTTTCCATTTTTCTGCTGCAAGAAATTGCAATCTCATTGAGGCAACTTTTTCATACTCCTTTAGCAAAATATAGCATGTCCAAAAGGTAAATGCATAAGCCATTACAATGTGTGCCCAAAACCTGAGCTAGAGTACAAAATTTTAGTACAGCGTGAGATTTAGTAGCAATTTAAGAAAAGCCAAATACTTTACAATAATTAATACAATCAAATACTGACATGAATGCACCATAAAAGTAACTCTACAACTTTAACAAGTGATATTATGCATAAAAAAGGTACCGCTAATAATCAGATTGGAGAAGTAAGTGATGTTATTTTAAGATGAGAAGAAAAAGTAATTAAGATATAATCAGAGAATCTAGAGAAGAGATGCAAAGCAATTAAGATTTTCATTGTAAATCAAGGTTGCACCTTGTTAAACACTAGACCTAAAGCCTCAACATAGTTAAACCATATATATTTTTAGGTCAAAAACACATCTTGACATGCAGGTACTTTGGATTTGAATATAATATACTAAACAATATCAAGAAGCGACAGCAAATGCCATTCAAAAACCTAAGATATGATCTCCAATCTAAATTGACAAACTTGCGCACAAATGCTCCTCCGTGTAGAGGATCTGTTCTTAAACCCTTCAGATACCATTTTGAGAAGTATACCCGATCATTGAAAGGTTGAAGCCTCAAAATAGCAAATGCCACAGAGAAAATAAATGCGCTCAAAATGTTTATGGCAGCTGCAACCCCAATATCTTGAAATGTAGCCATTTTCTCCCCCTTCTAGAAAGAATGCACGTCTTCCTGATATTAAAAGGAATGGATAAAGGGGGTTAGATTGATACACAACTAACTGCAACAAAACTCTAGGTGAAAATACCAAAAGATCATGCCTTGCCAATAAAATTTGTATTTAATCTCATACTTTAATAAACATAAGCATAACTTGAAATAAGAAATTGTTTATAACTAGATTCTCATCTCTTTTTGAATCCTCTTTCCATTTTCCCATGCACCCTAAATTTTGGACACCCAAAAGGAAAATAATTTATCAAGCATTTCCTACAACAAATTTTACTCCGCTGGATCCAAAACAGAGACACAAAACAGAAAGTCCGTTTTTTTTGCAAAATTCATTTGGATGCAGAGGGGGGTAAAAGTCCTAACAGAAAAAGGATATATATATATATATATATATATATATATATATATATATATATGGCACTTACTTCTTTTGCAAGCTTGTCAATTTCAGTGGTTTAATAATCAATAGCATCCACTTTCTTTCCACGAAGACCAAGGAAACCAGTCTGGTAAAAACATATAAGAGGGAAAGGTTGTGGCAAATCTGAAGATAATTATGACAAAAATTTGAAGGCATACCAGATTAATCTCAAATACCTTCATTTCAGGTCCTTTTGAAGTTCGTTCAAGTTTATTTTGATAATAGACAATCCAATTCTGCAACTTCTTCTTCTTTTTAACAACCTTTGCTAGTCTGTTTGCATCATAAACAACCTGCAGAAATGTCACAATAAATATGCTGACATACGCTTTTTTGCCTCTCAAAGTCCCAAATGAAAAGCGGAAAATTAATTTGGCATAATAAACAATGTAATTCACATTTCATATACATCATTTCAGAATCAACGAGACAACTAGTGAATTTACCATTGCAGTAAAAAATGAAACTATCAAAGCATAAACCACCAAATGCTTCTTAAATTCTTAATATCAGAATCAATGAGATAATTAATACAGTGTATAAAGGAGGAACCAACCTGGTGAGTAAGATAGTTATCTGGATGATTGACAAGAAAAAATTGCTCCACAAGCTCACTTACAGATTCATCATGATCTGGTGGAATGTTTCTAACGAGCACATGAAAATAATATCATTTCTATTAGCAAAATATGCATGATGTAATCTCTCACATATCTCAATGCTAACACGTGACAATTTAGCCTAAAATTGCAATTTCCCCCAACCTGCGAAGTACAAAGATGCTGAAGGATTGGAGAGCTCTTCTGTATTAAAACAACATTTTAGATTTGGGAAAAAAAAATTCCAAGTGTGGCATTATGGTAAGTTTCTGTGAACAGTATGATATTTTGATCGTTGTCCCTACAGATTACATTACCAAACCAAAAGAATTTCAAATTAGATTAAATTGATCAACACTAGTCGATACTAAGCATTCACACGGTGTCTCAAAATCTTTCATAAGCTGTATCTCAAATCTTGTACACTTTTGAAAGAAAAAAAAAATTTGATATTGTCTGATTTAATACCCGTATGATCTTTTGGCCGAGAAAACAACAATTGTTTAGCAATACTTTTTTTTTTAATTTTTTGTCTATTTTGGTTAGAAAACTTTGAGAAATTGTTAGCTAAAATGTAAATGTAACAAAAGTAATAACTCTATTATTACCAAAATTGTCTTATAAAATGCAAATGCAACAAATCCAACCACTCTATTATTATAAAAAGAATGAGAAAAGAATCACTCCATTGCGAGTGCAATTAAATACTCCAATCAGACGCTCTAGATTAACAAAATTTTCCATCTGCATATTGTAACTATTCACAGCAACTGATAGTATCAGCCACCAGAAAAACTTGAAAGTCTTTGACAGCTTGATCAACGGCATATACTATCATCTTCTCTATCTATTTCATCAAAGATAAAACTCCATCAGCAAACATAAAAAAGGAAAATATTATATTCTATCCTATAACTTACTTATGAGGCTGACATTAATAAAGAGGAGAAGCAGAAGGAATTATATTTTAAAAGCAAATCACCTCAAGTTTATCTTCTCTAGCCTTGTGGTTGTTGGGAAGATGACGAAACTCATTAGTTAAACGCAGACACTCATGAACATTTTCTGGGGACACGAAGTCTACAGCAACTTTTATGCATGACTGTGCAAGGTTTAACGTATGTTGATTAGAGCTAAAGATATAACCAAATGATTTGACAGTAAAGTAATGGAAAGAAATGTTTTACCTTGAGGTTCCTCACTTGATGTGGGCATCCAGCAGGAATAAATACAGCCTCCCCAAGTTTCTGCTCAAAAGTCCAGGATTCTACACCTAAAAGTCAAGATTCGCATAAATGGCTAATTCTAGACACCCAACAAGAAATGATATGCAATATTTGCAGCTGTAACCTCCATTCTTACAGCGGTACTGTTCTTTAAACGTCCAATATTTACTTGTTCCCCTTCAGGTTTTGGTTTCTTATTACCATGCTCATGAATTTCTTCAGCCTTTCTCTTTGAAGTTCCAAATTTTTTTGAGCATCTTGAGAACTCCAGCTTATCCTCATTATGTTGATTTGACTGGTCTTGTCTTGGAACTACAACCTCCATTCTTACTGCGGTACTGTTCTTTAAACGTCCCATATTTACTTGTTCCCCTTCAGGTTTTGGTTTCTTATTACCATGCTCATGAATTTCTTCAGCCTTTCTCTTTGAAGTTCCAAATTTTATTGGAACTTCAAAGAGAAAGGCTGAAGAAATTCATGAGCATGGTAATAAGAAACCAAAACCTGAAGGGGAACAAGTAAATATGGGATGTTTAAAGAACAGTACCGCTGTAAGAATGGAGGTTTGAGCATCTTGAGAACTTCAGCTTATCCTCATTATGTTGATTTGACTGGTCTTGTCTTGGAACTACAACCTCCATTCTTACTGCAGAATGACATGGAAATACACTCAAATAATTACAACAACAACAAAACTATAACCATTATCCGAAACTAATTGGATTAGGCATCTTTAAATAATTGCAAACATCCAAAAATCACAACATAGATTATCGCTCATTTAAGCATTGACATGCCAATCTTTTATAATAGCTGGAGTCTAAGCAACAAATACTGTCAGTATATAATATCAATCCTAAACCTATACATATTGCCATCAAGAGTTTACTACCACATTTATCAAGGATTCAAAGATGACATCGTGCTTTCTATTACCGCACAGAAAGGGGGATGACAATGGCAAACAGAACTAAATCTAAGACCTTACGAGAGATCCCAATTCACATGATTTCTGAAAACAAGGAGAATGGAGAACTCCACACAGAAAGGGGACACGGTTGTAAAAACAAATGTCCGCTACACCACATTTGACTGGGTTTTCCCTAACTTTGATAATTATTAAAAAAAAACAAACTATATGCTATCTTGTTAAGATGAACCACGTGATTTGATGGTGATTTTCACCGTTTCTCCTAGACATTTTTCTATTTCGCAAACTAGAGAACAGGAGAACACAAACTAACAGAACCAAAAACCAATCTCATAGGCCACATAATTTCCAAGATGAAATCCAAAATTCAACCAAACAAACAATCTGGAAATCAGAGAGTCATAAACAAGGAAATTAATTGTACCATCAGAATTGCAATAAAGACAGAGAGAATTTTCTCTTCTCTCGCTTAAAACGAAAAAAATATCTACAAACGCTCCTCGGAGAGAGCGATGATGCGTCAGAAATAATCAACGAGAAGATCAGAACAAAGGAAACTCGAAACTGGTCAAGTGAGCGATTGTGGCTATGCGAAGCTAAATGAAATCAACAAAAACAGAGAGAAACAGTTCGATCGTCTATGATGATGCATATAATTATAATCAAAACATATTTAGAAACATAACATGGAATCGACCAGATAAACGTGCCTTTGGAATCCATTGATGTCCGGTGCCGGTTGAGCTACGATCTCTCTTACGCAGAAAAGAGCAATAGAAAGTAGGGAGAGAGAGAGAGAGAGAGAGTTGCAGATGAAGGAAGAAGAAGAAGGAGGTAAGGAAGGTGTTTGGGTTGGTCCTTAGAAGGAGACAACGATACAAAGCGGTTGTACGTATACTGACACCAACTTTTTCATTTTATTTATATATCTTTGATTTTTGCTAGATTTATATATCTTTGAATTTTGTTTATCTTTTTTTTTTCTTTTTTTTCTTTTACACAATGACGAAAGGCCAAGACGTTTTTAAAATATTATTGGTTTTTTTTTTGGGAGAAAAAATATTATTGTTATTTCTTTTACAGTTTACTATTGTCCTTTCTTATATGTTTTAATCGATTAAATCATTAACTTAATCGATTAAATCTCCTTCTTAATTGTTTTAATCGATTAAATATCTGAAATAAATGTGAAAGCATTGATTGAATGAGATAAACACGGTATTGGAGGTTATTTGAATTTAATGTAATAGGAGTTAATTGCGATTTGTATTTAATAGGAGCCGATTGACTCCTGTTAAATACAAAACGCAATCAGCTCCTATTAAATACAAAATTCAAATGGAAAACTGATTGAATTTTGAATTTGAATTTGAATATAATGTAATAAGAGCTGATTGCGTTTTGTATTTAATAGGGCGCAATTCAAATGGAAAACTGATCTGATTGCGTTTTGAATTTAATAGAAACTGGAGCTGATTGCGTTTTGTATTTAATAGGAAGCAATCAAATAACCTCCAATACCGTGTTTGTCTCATTCAATCAAGTTTTCACGCTCATTCGGGATATTTAATCGATTAAATATGTTTTAATCTATTAAATCAATTAAGAGGGAGATTTAATCGATTAAGTTGAAGATTGGATTAATTATTTGATAGGTCAAAATATTCTTAAGAATATTGGATTAATTTTTTTGATACTATGCTTGGTTATTTTTTTTAAAAGAAAAATTAATTCATATTTTTCTATCGTCTGGGATTCCTAAAATACCACCCTCTGGATAGTATTTTACGGCTCGTTTGGTGGATAGGATAAGGGTAGGATATGATATGCTGATAAGGGTAGGATATGATATGGGACTGATAAGTCTATATCATGTCATGTGTTTGATTAGCACCTGATTAGCAATATGATAAGATTATGTAAAAGGAGAAATAAAAAATAAAATATAAAACAATAAATACAAATACATTAGGTAGCATGGGGATAGGGGTGGCAATCTAGGTTGACCCGCCCCGCCACCAACCCGCCAAAAACAGGGCGGGGCGGGTTGACCCGCCAAAAAATATGCGTTGTAAAAATGAACTCACCCCGTTTTATGGTGGGTTGACGGGTTGGCGGGTCAACCCACCAACCCGCCAATTAAAAAGAATTTAATTAATATTCAAAAATAAATTATACTTTATGAATTTTTTTAATATTATTTTATTTTATTTCACACTTCTCTATATTTTTTTAGTCTCAATCTTAAATGTATACTAATATTTGTCAAACATTATTTAGGAATTTATAAATAGATAACATTTGTCATAAATAAAATTGTTATTCTTTATTTTTTCTAGAAAGTACTAAGATAAAAAAAATAGAATATCACAAAAATTTAAGTACTAATGAAATACTACCTAATTGTAAAAAAATAAAAAAAATAATAAAAAAATTTAAAACCCGGCATCGGGTTGAACCCGTTTTGACCCACTTGTAGGCGGGACGGGTTAAGGTGGGTTGGTGGGTTGAAAATCTCAACCCAACCCGCCCCGTTTTGACGGGTTGGCGGGTTGACCCGCCGGGCTCAATCCATATTGCCACCCCTACGTGGGGATATATTGGGTATCTAATATTGGTATCATATCCTATTGAATTCTAACCCAGCTCCCCCATAGGATAAGAAATCATGTATTGGATAGGATAAAATGAGACAAGAGGATAAGCTAATCATATCCTATTGACTAGGGGTGTTAACGGGCTGAGCCGAGCCGAGCCGAGCTTTGGTCTCAAAAGGCTAAGCCTGTATTTAAATGTGTCGGCCTTACCAAGCCTGTTACCTGTTACGAATATAATTATCGGCCTGTGGCCTGCCTTATTTACAAAAAATAAAAGCCTGATTTAGTCTGTTAGCCTGTTTAAAAGAAATAAGACTACAAAAAATTATCCAAACAGAAAATACAATCAACAACACTAGTAACTCCATAAATATTCATAAATTTAATGTATATCCAAACAGCATAATATAGAAAAAAATCATTCAAAAAGTCTATTTAACTAATAAATATGGGTGAAATGGATTGAGGAGAGAGAGAGCACTATTACAAATAGTATAAAAATATAAATAAAAATAAAAATTAATATACTAGGCCAGCCTGAGAGGCTTCAAGGCAGAGCTTTTGAATTCGAGCCTGATGCCTTTTTATTAAACGAGCTTTTATACGAGTTCAAGCCTGGTTCCAACAACCAATATTAGGCATGTAAGCTCAGGTCTTCATGAGTATTAAATACGGATGACAGAGAATCGAAAATGATAGACAATAACGGAGCTTGCAAACATGGCGAACGTTGTTCCAGAGTTCACACTAAGCCCACTATTAGCCCCGCTCTTGTTCTCTCCCACATGTACCAAAGACCCGACATGAACATGAACATAAACAAGGGAGATCTAAATTTTTATATGGTTTTTACAAGTTTATCTGTTGCAATGGGAAGCCAACAACAGGAACAATTTTTTTTATGGTTTTTGCTCCATTTTCAGACATTGTTTTTTGCTCCATTTCCTCCATCTGGTTGTTTTTTGCTGTAAACCCAAAAAGAAAAAAGAAAGCATCAATAATGGATTCTTCGTCCGGATTTGTTTTTTTGTTGAATGTTGATTCTGTTTTGTGGATCAATTTTGTTTTCTGGATCTATAGAATTTTGTTGGTGGAATGAAAATGATGATCAATAGTAAATTTAAAAGGCAAGGATAGTTTTGTAAAATAACCCAACATTTCCAATAATATTTCTCGATTAACCGAACACAGACTTATTAAACTTAACCAAATAATTCCGGTAATATTTTTGCATACCAAACAACTTTCTAATAACATTTTCGGGTACTCCATTTTCTCATCGTATTCTTGGAAATCATAATTCTCAGACACCAAAGAATTTCTCTTCTACCAAATGCCCCTGAATGTCATAGCTCTAGGTTCGGATTCTTTCTCGAGAATTTAAACCTTTTGGGTAAAAAATTCCTTTTATTAGCAATTTGCTCCCTGAATATTAGAGAATATTGAGGGAAGAACTGCAATGACAGAGTTGAAAATTGATAATCAAATTAATTAAAAATTGAAAACAAAACAAAATAGTATATATTTTAATTGGATTGAATTAACTTTTTATTTAATTGGTGAAAATCAATTCATTTTCATTATTTTAACACGTGAATTAGTAATCATTGATTAATTATTTGTGAATGATGAATTAATAAAAACTTAAAAGTCACTAATACTATTCCATTAAAAAAAAACACACACACAAACTAAAAACACACATCTCTCAAATCTCAATGCAAATACAATTGTCCATCCACATCCACGGTTGGCAAGTACCGTACTCAGCGTAATGACATTTTCACATCTCTCTCAAATAACAAACACAATGTCGTCACCATTGCATGCTATTACCAAAAATGATCTCGTGCTCATATTTGTCATTGCTTGGTCCTAGAGACTGAAGTTCTATTCTATATGATATTATATAG